ATTTTAAGTATTATGGTCGTCGAAAGATCAAATCATAGCTAACATGGATCTCCAATCTTAATCATGCATTTAAAACTCAACTTTAAGTAGAAGGCAACAAAGACACCTTACCCCCAAACTTAAACCGCACATTATCCTCAATGTGCAATGAGAAGAATGGAAAAGATGGAAAGAGTATACCGTGTTGGCGAAAGCATGAAGCCCGGCAATGATCCAATATGAAAAAGGTCTCCCCCAAACTTAGAATCAACAACTTATTTGAATAACCACACTAACAAACTCACATCAAATATCAAATGGGATAAGAATAATCAAATCATGCATTCTAAGGCAATATAACACAAGATGAAAGAGAGATATGAGATCAAGCCCTAGCATAAAAGTATGCATGACTACACATAAGGGCACAATGGTGAAATTTTTTTTTTTTTTTTGTAGAAGTATGAACAATGAAACAAAATGTAAGAAAAATAAAGAAATAAAAATGAAAATGAACATGGATTATACAAGAGATAAAAGACACAATGTGTCATATGGGTCCTAAGTTTAATGTCTCTAGCAAGACGGAATGCCACTTTGGAAGAAATTTTTTTTTTTTTTTGAATTCTGAACGATCGGATGATGATTGATCAAACCTCGATCGATCAAAGACCTGATAACTTGTAAACAACTTCGAATGATTGGACAGAGAGATGAAATATGCAGAGCTTCAAAAAAAATTTTAAGTACAGAATTGAGATCGATCAAGGGTCAACCAGATCAATCGAAGATTACTTGGATCGATCGGGCATAAAGTTCGAACGGTGGACAGAGACCTGAAAATATGCAGAGAATCTCGAACGATGGGACAGAGACTTGATTTTCTACAGAAAAAGTTTGAACAGTGGGACAGAGAGATGATTTTCGTCTGCAGAGAGGTTCGATCGATCGTAACAGCCTTGTGATTGATCGAACAACCAAGAAACCCTTTTTGAGATGAGACCACAACTAAATCAAGCAAGTCTACAATGATGAAAACAAAAAAAATGAGTGAGACTCTAGATTTCTTCATAGATAGGATCCACCAAGAGGGCGACTTCCATATGTCTTTGAAAAACTTGCCCTTCAATCTAGGGCTTTAACCTTTGCCCATTTACTTTGAATGTGGTGCCAACTTTTAAGCTTTTTATCTTAACTGCCCTATGGGGCGCAATAGAAATGATTTCATATGGGCCTTCCTATTTGGTACGCAACTTCCTGGGAAAGAGTTTAAGCCTAGAGTTGAAGAGCCATGCTTTTTGTCCGGGTTCAAAAGATTTCTTTACAATGTGTTTATCATGAAAAGCTTTGGTTCTTTCTTTGTAAAGTTTGGCATTATCATAAGCATTATGTCTCAACTCTTTCAACTCATTCAATTGAAGTGAACGATTCTCTCTGGCTTTGTCAAGGTCAAAATTGAGCTTTTTAACCACCCACATAGCTTTATGTTCTAGCTCAACCGGAAAATGGCAAGGCTTTCCATATACAAGTCTATAAGGAGACATGCCAATTGGAGTTTTATATGCCGTCCAGTAAGCCCATAAGGCATCATTTAATTTTCGTGACCAATCTTTCCGGGTTGTGTTCATTGTTTTCTCAATAATGTGTTTAATTTCTCGGTTTGAAACTTTTACTTGCCCACTTGTTTAAGGATGATAAGGGGTGGCGACTTTATGTGAGATGGAGTACTTTAGGAATAATTGTTTCAAAAATTGATTGCAAAAATGCTTTCCTTCATCGCTAATCATTGCTCTTGGCATACCAAAACGAGTGAAAAATATTCGATTTAATGAATTGAACAACCACGGAGTGGTCATTTGTTTTGGTAGCACAAGCCTCCACCCACTTAAAGACATAGTCAACGGAAAGTAAATGAATTGAAAGCCATAGGGCATAAGGAAAAGGACCCAAGAAATCAATGCCCCATATATCAAAGATTTCGACAACTAGAATGTTTGTCAAGGGCATCATATCTTTCCTTGACATCGATCCCATCTTTTGACAACACTCACACTCCTTGCAAAAATTGTATGCATCTCTATGGATGGTGGGCCAAAATAACCCACTTTGAAAAACCTTCAAGGCAGTCTTCTTTGCACTGAAATGACCACCATATTCAAGGATATGGCAAAACACAAGGACACTTGGTACCTTACTCTCCGGAATACATCTTCTCACTATTTGATCCAGACAATATCGAAACAAGACAGGATCTTTCCAATAGTAATTCTGAATGTTGGCAAAGAAACGGTTCTTTTCTTGCCTTAACCAAGGCATTTGTCCATTTGTACGTTTGTCCGGACAATATCGAAACAAGACAGGATCTTTCCAATAGTAATTCCGAATGTTGGCAAAGAAACGGTTCTTTTCTTGCCTTGACCAATTAGTTAGAAGCTTCCCAATTGCAAGAAAGTTTACAATGTCAGTGAACCAAGGCATTTGTCCATGAAATTTGGAAGATGTTACCCAAGTAATGACCCTAGAGGGGGGGTGAATAGGGTCATTGGCAAACTATGAAACTTTTTCGATTTAGCTTCTCGGCTCCTTTTATTTGTCTCTATACTTTAGAGCCAAATATAATTCATTGTGATGAATGATTTTCTAGTGAGTTGTAGTATAGATATCACTTAATTTAGAATGTAAAACAATGAGCTTGCTGCACATGAGGTGACTACTTTAGCAAATGACTAATTCATTTTGTATATTGAATCATGCTAATTAGTTATGCAACTAAGTGTGATTATCATTGATTCAAATAAATGAATTCCATTAAGCTTCAATGCATTCAATTCAACTAATCATTTAGAATTAGCATTTGCATAATATTAATGTGATAAATATTCAAAGTGCAAATGTCATGAAACATATTATCATATAGTTTATAGCAAATTATCAAACACTTGGTGTACATATAAACTCTAAAGATGAAGGATGTGTTGAATATGCATTTTGTCAAACACTTGGTATGCAATATCATTTTAGCTATATATAAATCAACTATAAAACATATAGTTTAAGCTAAAATCAATCACTCATTCAACTTAATCCAAGCATTCATTCAATCCTTCCTCATATAATCAATTGAGCTTCACATACTAGTTAATTGATTTATATATAACTCATTCTACTCAAGATAGACTAAACATTTGATATATAAAGACTGAGCAAATAAAGATGCAATCAAATGTAAAGAGAGTAGAGATTAGAGAGAAAAGAAAATGCAAACCAAGGGACACACGATGTACATGGTTTGGCACAACCTCGGCCTACGTCCATACCTTGAGAAAACTTCTCAAGGATTCCACTATGGCTCCTCCTTATGGGTGGAGAGCAAACCTTTACATGTTTTTGCTTGTGGGTGAAGAACCGACCTTATATTGAAGCCATCTCTCTTCTCTTTCTTTTGACGGATAAGAAGAAACTATTGCTCACTCTTATGGGTGGAGAGCTCTACCAAATGCTCTCATTTGAGAAACACCTTCTTTCTTTTATGGGTTGAGAAAGAGAAACAAGTTTTCCCTTGCAAAGAGAACTTCTTGGTATTCTTCTCTCAAGAATGGATATATAATGAAGCTTCCAATGAATGTCTCTCAAATAGACAAATATACAAATCAAAGCTCTCATACTTAGAGTTACAATTGAAATAATCAAATGAAAGCTCAACTCTAAGTTTGCAAGATGAATCACATGAATGATATCAAATGAATGCTTCATGGTGATTCCTAGAAGATATTTCTATCAAAATGATAGACTATTTCCATCCCCAAAGGGAGGTCTCTCTGTTGGTTCTCTTGCATGCCCACAATGTGCATACAATGTGTATTTATAGGCCCTTAGAAGAATATAGCCATTTGGGGGCATAATGGTAAAGTCCCAAAGGGTTAAAGAGCCATTGCAGTTTGAAATCTGCAAATCAACTAGAACCGGTCGACATGTGGCATAAACCGGTTGACCTCTTTGCATGAACCGGTTAATGTATGCTACAAACCGGTTGACATTTTCTTCCTAAACCAATTGATGTATGCTACAAACCAATCGACGTAAATAACCTTCTTTTTGAGATTTTGCTACTGCCTAGATACTGGTTGACATGAGCTTAGTAGGCGTCGACATGAACAAACTTCCTCTTGAAATTTTTCTACTGGACAGAAAAGAGCATGACTTCAAATGGACATAACTCAGTCCATTTAACTCCAAATGAGGTGAAATTTGAGTCCAAATTCATTGCCTTGAAGTCAGTTTTCTAACACCACTGGCCTTACTCAAAAATTCCAACCACAAAAATAGTTATAGCCGTTTTAGTGCAACCAGGTCATAAATTTTGCAGACCAGAAACATGCATATTGTGATGCTCATATCTCATTCAATTCAAATCCTTTTTAGGTGAAATTTGAGTCTAAACTTAATAGCTCGAAGTCAGCTTTCTAATGCACCTAGCCTTACTTAAAAACTCCAACTACAAAAATAGTTATAGCAGTTTTAGTACAGGCTGGTCTGAAAATTTTATGGGCTGAAAATTGCTTTTTATGAGATAGCCATCTTTCTAGAACCTAGGACTTTGATGTATGGTTCAATTTAGTTCAAGTCCAGTTTCTAAGGGTCTAGGGACATATAAGAATGTTAAAAAACAAGTGCATTGTGTCCTAGAGTCATTTAACAATTCATGGTAACGAAGGCTTTAAAGATGAAATATTAAGTTTAATGCCTTACTTTTACTTTCTAGAGACCAAAATAAATCATATAATTGATGTGCATGGTCCTAGCATTTATAGCTTAAGTGATGACATCTTTCAAAGCTTATCAAGCTTAAATTAACTCATTCTTTAGCAAAGACTCCATATGTCAATTATATATGAATGAAGTGCATAGTCTATTGCTATAGGAACATATGAATGATAATGATGATAAGCATGATCCTATAGAGATGATCTTTCAAATGAAGTTACTTCAAAAATAACATTACAATTAAAGCTAGCACTCACCAAGCTATCTACCCCTTTCTTCAAGCTTTGTTCATGAACTTTTAGACTTTGAGGTATTCTTCCTTTCTTTAAGTTGCTTTCTTGATCATTGATGTCCAATCTATCTTTGGATGGTTCCTTGCAACTTCATGTTTTCTTTGTCTCCTTTGCTTTCCATAGATGTGATCTTAAGTAATGGAATTCTTGGAATGGTCTTTATGATCTTCAATGAGGTTCTTCTTTGAAAGTGAATCATCTACAACACTCAATGTGAACATTAATCCATAAACACCATTAATGGTTTGTTATCATCAAAACACCTAGATTGTCATTGGATGAAATCCTTAAGGTCAATAGAAGAGTTGTTCATCCGGAAATGAATCACGAATTGGCGGGCTTGGGGAAAATTCTACCATTAACCTTGAAAGATGATCAGCAACCACATTTTCAGTGCCTTTCTTATACTTGATTTCGAAATCAAGTTCTTGAAGAAGCAAAATCCATCTGATTAGATGAGGTTTAGTTTCTTTCTTAGTCAAAAGGTGCCTCAAAGTAGCATGATCAGAATAGACAATGACTTTTGACCCTAAGAGGTAGGACCGGAATTTATCAAGAGTGTGCACTACAGCAAGTAATTCTTTCTCGGTAATAGAGTGTAATTCAATTGAGCTCCCAAAAAAGTCTTGCTTGCATTGTATATGGTGCATGGAAGTTTACCTACCCTTTGTCCCCAAACTGCTCCCATTGCATAATCAGAAGCATCACACATAATCTCAAAAGGTAATGACCAATTGGGAGATTGCATTATAGGAGCAGATGACAGTAAGCCACGGAGTGTATGAAAAGCATCAAGGCATGCTTGGTAAAAAACAAAAGGGGTCTTCTTGGCAAGAAGATTGCATAAGGGTCTAGCAAGTTCGCTAAAGTCTTTGATAAAGTGGCGATAGAAGCCGGTATGACCTAGAAAGGAGTGGACCTCTCTCACCGTGGAAGGTGGAGGCAATTCAGAAATGAGCTCAACTTTTGCTTTATCAACCTCGATACCCCATTTTGAGATGAAATTTCCCAAAACAATCCCCTCTTGAACCATGAAATGGCTCTTTTCCCAGCTAAGAAAGAGGTTTATTTCGTGGCATCTTTTAAGCACTAAAGACAAATTTTTAAGGCATGCATCAAAAGAAGACCCAAAGACCGAAAAATCATCCATGAACACTTCCAGATACTCTTCTACCATGTCCAAGAAAATTGACATCATACACCTTTAAAATGTGGCAAGGGAATTGCACATACCAAATAGCATCCGTCTATAGGCAAATGTGCCAAAAGGACAAGTAAATGTGATTTTCTCTTGGTCTAAGGGTCAAGGGCTACTTGATTGTAACCCGAATAGCTATCAAGAAAGTAATAATATTGTTGCCCGGCCAATCTCTCTGGAATTTGATCAATGAATGGCAAAGGAAAGTGATTTTTTCTAGTGGTGGCATTTTGCTTCCGGTAATCAATGCATACACCCGAATTCTTGGGAACTATTTGAGTTGGACTCACCCATTTGCTATCAGAGATTGGATAAATTATACTGGCATCTAAAAGCTTTACAACTTCCTTCTTAACCACTTCTTTTATGTTTGGGTTTAATCTCCTTTGGGCATTTCTAAAAGGTTTCTCATCCTCTTCCATGAGAATGCGATGCATGCAAATGGAAGGGTCAATTCCCTTTAGATCCACCACACTCCATCTAATAGCTTCTTATTTTCTTTAAGCACATTTAAAAGATCATTCTTTTGGTCTTCTTCAAGACTTAAAGAAATGATGACCGGAAGAGTCTCTTTCGGGCCTAAGAAGACATACTTAAGATTATAAGGAAGAGTTTTAAGCTCAAAAGTAGGTGGGGAGATTAAAGATGGAACAGGTGGAGTGCTGGAGAGTGGAAGAAGAGGTTCTTTTGGAGCTTTCCAAGGTGGAAAATCCAAGCTTGCAACGGATTCCATTAAATTGCTTACCTCACTCATTGATCCCTCATTATCGAACCCACAATTCCCATACATTTCAAGGAGACAAGATGTAAGAGAATTCTCGGAAAGGAGAGATGAAATATTGTCCTCGGTTGGTTTTTTCATAATCATGGAAGGAGTGGACTCCTCGACAACTTCATCCAAGACATCTATGAGACAACACTTGTCTTTATTGATAGGATGTCAACTCGCATTGAAGACATTAAGCTTAACCATCATGTTACCAAAAGAAAGGTCCATAACACCGGATCTACAATTAATGGTTGCATTCATAGTGGCAAGAAATGGCCTTCCTAAGATGATTGGGATATGGTTGGTAGGATTGGAAATCGGTTCGGTATCAAAAACCACAAAATCAACCGGGAAATAGAACTTGTCAACTTTGATGAGTATGTCCTCAACCATACCTCTAGGTGTTTTGAAGGATCTATCGACTAATTGAAGCACCACCGAGGTTGGCTTCAAATCATTCAAACCTAGCTGGACATAAATGGAGTAAGGAATCAAATTAACACTCGCTCCTAAGTCAAGAAGAGCTCTACGAACTTCATGGTTTCCAATCACACATGAGATGGTCGGAGCACCGGGATCATTGAACTTAGGTGGAGTGTTATGTTGAATGATGGAACTCACTTGCTCCGTGAGGAACACTTTTTTAGAGCCTTGTCCCTTGTTCTTTCTCTTTTGTGTGCAAAGGTCTTTCAAAATTTTTACATAAGGTGGAATTTGCCTAATTGCATCCAAGAGAGAAAGATTGACGTTAACTTGTTTAAACACCACCATTGTCATGGATTTTTCCTTCTTGCCTCCCAAAAGGCGAAGTCTCTCTCAAAGCATATGGAAATGGAGCTTTTAGGTCATAAGATTTTGCAACTTGAGGAGATGATGAAGAAGATTGAGAATTCTTAATGGGAACATTTTCTTCCAAGGAAGTAGGAGAAAGATAAGAAATGGGACGGGTACTAACTTTGGGTTGCACCAGTTCACTATCGTCACTTGGTTTTTCAACCCTATTATCAATTTGCCTACCACTTCTCAAAGTGGTAATGGCTTACACTTGCTCTTGGGAAGGGTACCCCGATGTAGGATTCGCTTCCACAAAGTATTGGGCTTTTGGGTTTCTTTCGGGTTGGCTAGTTAGTTTACCAATTTCTCTTTCATTCAAGGAATTAGCTATCATCCCAATTTGGGATTCAAGCTTCGATATTGATTGACAAAAATGTAATAATTTAGTATTCATTTCCAAACTACCCAAAGCCACCAAAACCTTATCTTCAAATGTGGAATTACTAGAAACTGCACGAGGATGATGAGGGCAAATTTGAGAATCATACACTTGAGGATGAGAATAGTGATTCATTCTTTGATGATAAGAAGAAGATGAAACAAATCCTTGAGAACCTTCATTTCTTTGATGAGGAGGAACATACCGACTTTGAAAATTTTTAGCTTGAAAAGGACTTGAATATTCACTCCACGCCAGAATATAAGCATTTGAATGAGGGTGAGCAAATGTAACATTGACTTGTTCATAGTGTTCATCAAGCACATGTCCATGGGGATAATTAAAAGTAGTATGAAATACACTTGAACATGTTATGCAAGGCTTACAAGAATGATAAGGATGATAACTATGAAAATGAGATGATTGAGTAGCCGGTTTTTGACTCAATAAAAATTGATCAAGTCTTTTAGTGAGAGTTTTGACCTCGGCTACAATCTCCATTGGACTTTCAATTTGACACACTCAAATTTTTCTTTTTTTCATTAGAATCATGACTCACCCGAGAAGTGTGATATTTATGCAATGAATTTTCACTCATATTTTCAAAAAGGTGCCAAACATCATCTTTATGTTTCCCAAAATATGAACCTCCACATGATGTATCAACTATGTCCTTGTGAATGTCGGATAAGCTTTCGTAGAAATATTGAACCACTTGCCATTTTGGAATGCCATGATGTGGACATTTCTTTAGCAAATCATTCAATCTTTCCCAAGCCTCATACAAAAGTTCTCCTTCCCCGTGAGAAAATTCTCTAATGGCGGTTCTCATTGAATTGGTCAAACTTACGGGGTAAAAATTTTTTAAAAATTCATTTTGCATTTGTATCCAAGAAGTTATTGAATTTGCCCTCATATTGTTGAACCAATGTTTTGCCTTATTTTTAAGAGTAAAGAGAAAGAGGAAAAACCTAAGAACTTCTTCTAAGACATTCATGTATTTCACGGTGGAGCATATTTCAAGAAAATCATCAAGATGTTTCTATGGTTCTTCATCATCTAAGCCACAAAAAAGTGGACACATTTGAATAGTCTCGGGCTTAATTTCATATTAATTGGCCCCAAAATTAGGAAGCATGACACAAGTCAGTGCATGGTATTCATGGAAATTGTAATGATCACGAAGGATCATTGGAGAAATTGGAGCTTAAACTCCGGGAGGAAATTGGTTAAAAGGAAGATGTTCCATGAAATCCGGGTCTAAATAACCAAGATTACCCTCTAAATTTTCCATTGGAGTGGTCAAGATGAAAAGTAGGGAAAAGACCGCACAAAACTTTAAACAACACAACAACAAAATCAACAAAAACTAGCACTCCTCCTTCGCAACACAAAGCAATTAACAACAAACCCATACTCCCATGCTTTCAACAATATGCAAGAAAAATAAATTGCCTCCACGCGGGCTCACGATTTATCTAAGAATTTATAAATTGCCACCACGCGGGCTGACGATTTAACTAGAGAGAGAGTTAGAAAAGCTCACAAAAGGTCCTTAAGCAACTTCAAATTAGTTTTCAATTTTTTTTGCTATGCCTTGCAAAATATTTTTTTTATTTTTAGCGTTTTATGATTTTGCTTAGCTTAGCTTAACTTGCTTCCTTGCTTTAGAACTTCCCTTTGCTTCACTTCCCTTGGCTCAATGCACCTACCCAATAAAAAACAAACACAATAAGTAAACAAAGTAAAATAAAATAAAATAAAATAAAAACACGATCAAAAGAGTATTAATTCCTAATTGTTTCCAAAATACGGCATTGCCTAATCCCCGGCAACGGCACCAAAACTTGGTGTGGCCTAGGTCGTGTGCTCCCAAATTGCACAATAAAGTGTGTAGTATGGCCAAGTTTGAATTTATAGAATGCCACTGCCACTACTAACTATAAAAGTAGCTAGAGTAAGCAGGGATCGTCCCAAGGGAAAGAAAGTGTGTTTTGGAATCAATTTGTTAGATTAGCAGGTCGAATGATCAAAAGATGGTTTGTTGGTTGAATTATACTACAATTTAAACTAAATAAATGCAATGTAAAACAACTAAAACAAATAAGGTGTAGAGAATATGAGAGATGAGTCTTGGATCATAAAGTTCACCACTAAGCATTACCTTCCTAGACATTCAATATTTGACGGATTAAGGGGATTGTGTGTTGTAAATGAAAGTGCGTGCCATTAATTGAAATATTGGCATGGATGACCAAGTAAGCATATATTGTCTAGTCAACCTAGTGAATAGCACAACATATCAAATTAAGCCATTAATCCTTCCATAAGCCCACAATTAATGCACACTCAACAAATTAGATAAATATACCACTTGCATTCATAAGCACGGAACATCAAACAACAAGAATATATTATCCACCTATCTAAGAAAGTAAGGCAATTACACTACAACTAAGCTAGTGACATGAAAACTAAACTAATTAAACTAAGGAGAAGGCACAATCCATCAAGAAATAAGTATTAACCATCAAATAAACTACATGAGTAACCCATTTAAGCACCATGCCTTGACCATCACTAGATTTATAATATCAACACACATAGACATGCATCAATGTCACAAAATCTAGAGATAAACACATGAACATTCATTCTAGCATACATAGACATATGAATAAAATCAAATGATCAATTGGAAGTATTAAACTACACAAATCACTATAGAAACAAGATTTATATATATAAGATGTCAAGACAAGAAATACAACAACACAAATCCCCATTAATTACAAAACATCAAAATCTAAGAGGCATGCTCATGGCTATCTCTAGCCCCAAGAGAATAGTTTAGCCACTCATTGAAGTTGTCATCCAACCTTCAAGGGCTATCTCCATGGTAAAATTCATCCTCCTCCTCTTGTGTTCTTGGTTGAAACCCTAGATGAGTGGAAGAACTTTCCCAAATTATATATTTCTCTCTAATCTCTAACCAAGCCTCTTTAACTAACCAACCTCCTTACTAAAAATAGCTAAAATCCTTATATTGGTAGCTCAAATGTCACACCCAATGGTTAGACCTCGTGCCAAGGACCTTCAAATGATTGTACCACGAGTATATATTTAACTTGGCTTGAAATCACCTTTTTACGCAATTTGAGGCAGTTCGATCGATCACATGGTTGCTCGGATCGATCGAACCATGGCGGTGCACTTTTTGGATAAGGACAAGGCTGAGATATTTTTGGAAAAAGGACAAAAGTGATAAGTGTGGATAAGATCAAAAGGGTTCAATCGATCAAAGGAAAAGTTGGATCGATCGAATAGAAAATTTTCTTAAGGATAAGGACAAGGGGTTCGTTCCATCATGGCAGGGTTGGAACGATCACAGTGTGATTAAAATCAAAAGGGTTCAATCGATCAAAGGAAAGGTTGGATCGATCGAATAGAAAATTTTCCTAAGGATAAGGACAAGGGGTTCGTTCCATCATGGCAGGGTTAGAACGATCACAGTGTGATCGATCGATCATAAAAGGCTTTCTTTACCATTTTGCTCCTTTCTTCCACTATGCTTGAGATTACTTCTTTTAATGCTCTAATTCAGCTAAATTGACTTATTTTGGGGATAAGTGCCTAAAAGGAAAATAATATGAAATTAGACTAAAACGGAAAAATAAGATAGAATAAGGTTCTAAAACATTCGAGCTTAAGGGGTTTAAATGCGCACTTTTTAGCGCTTATTAAAGAACAAACTATAATGTCCAACAAATCATTGATTTGAGGAATAGGAAACCAATATTTGATTGTAACCAAGTTATGCGACTATCACTACACATGCGCCGACAACCAACCTTATTTGGTGTGAGAAAAGCCGAGAGAATGAAAGGACTTAAAAGTAAATCCTTTGAACAATAGCTCATTAATTTTCCTATAATGTTCTGCATGGCCGCTTGAATTAATGGTATTAGCTGCAAAGTTAGGCAATGGAGACCCCAATACAAAGGCTATAGCATGTTGGATATTACAAAAAGAAGGGAGCTCATTAGGGGAGGTCTTCGGGAGTTCATTAAGGAGATCTTTGGGAGGAAAATTTGAGAAGTTAGACAGTATTTTGGCAACCTCCAATGCCACTAGAGAATCATGGACAACAACTACTTTTATTTCTTTCGCTACAACAACATATATTAGACACTCCCTATTTACTTTCCAATTAAAACCTCTTCTTTGTAAGAAGATAGAGGAATTTTTGTTTGCTTTTCACATCATCTATAGGCTTCTCCTTGTTTTTTGTTTTCTTTTCACATCATCTACAGGCTTCTCCCCATTATATTTTAAGTAATCTTTCCTATTAAACAATAAAGTATATGTACTCCTTTTTTTTTTTTATAGTGATACACAACTTGATCATAAAGCCAACGCCGCCCAAGGAGTATATGTCCCTCTTAGGAGAATGCATCAACCCAAAAGGAATCAATATAAGCTTCTAAAGAAAATGAAACAAGATAGTATTGAGTTAGCAGAATAAAAATACTATCAATCCAAGTCACTCTGAGCGGTTGTAATATTATTTGTTAACCTAAATGTTTCAACCTAATGGTTTAGGTAATTTTGATGATAACAAACAATTGTAGTGTAGAACTAATTCTTTCACTTATGTTAATAAGGTTTTAATCTATACTCAAGCGATTCATATATATTAATGGAGAAGTCGAAATGGATCCAGAACATGATGATGGAACATAAAGCTCAGTGAATTTAAGATCAATACTTGGGTAGATTAGTTATTGGTGAACGTTAAAATTAATTGTAGAGTTAATTTTGAATTGAGTTGTTTAAAAGCTCAACTTTGAACTTAGTGGACTCTAGAACCCACAATTGAATTGAAAAATATTATTTAAAGGTCCCTAGAACCACATAATTAGGCTATGAGGCCATTAGTTGAATTGAAGAATGTCTAACCTCATTTCAAACTAAAAAGAATTCAATTTTCATACTTGACCGAAGTTAGTCGATTAAGTGTTTCAAGTGAATCGATTAACTTGGCCTAAATAACGTTTCACAACCTTTTGTAGAAAGTTAGATACCAACTTGTTAAAGTTAACGAAGTTTGTCAAGTTCATGGAAAGTTGGACCAGTACAACTTTTTCAGAATCTTCACTTTAATTTCTCAGGCATATTGCACCGGTCCACAAAAGTTAGACCGGTCCAAATCTTCCAAAATTAAAATTTTCAACTGAATTTAAGACGCACTTTAATAAGCTCCACCTTGACTCAAATTTCATCTTTTCGTGCTCCTCCATAGCTCCATCTTAAATAAAGTTTTCTTCACCTCAAACAAAAACTTTTCCTTCCTGTCGTTCTTCGTCGTTCCATCACATTCCCCTATTGCGAGTAAACTCTAAGTTTAAATAGTCAAACAGGGAATTTACTCTCACATCAAAGAATCAGACTTCCCTTACTTTCATGTTGAAGGTTGGTGTTACATCCATTACTCTAGTGGATCTAGAAATAGGATTCCATTTTATCTTTGCAACTGCTCCATCTACCCAAGTACTTTCAAATAAAACATAGATATTTTTTTACTTTCCTTCCCAAAAGCATGATATGTGGCCCTCTTCTAATCTTCATCAACCCATTCTTTACTTCACACCAACAACCTTTCGTATCCAAAAGCCCCTACACAAATCACATTCCTTTCAACACTTGGAACATGACATACATTCCTTAAGGTCCTTATCAATCCATTCGTTATCCTTATTTTGATTATTCCAAATCCTACAACATCACTAAAAGAATTATTCCCCATAAATATTTTACTAACTACAGGTTTGCAGGAGGTAAACCACTTTTCATGACACATATGGAAGGAACAAGAATAATCAAGTATCAACTCCTAAGTTTCTTTCTTGTTGTCGACCATTAAAAGGACTTCATCAACATCACATCCCCACTCATATCCTTAGACACAACAACAGATGCATTCTCCTTTCCTATTGGACATCAACACTTAAGATTCCCCTTTACCCTCACAATTAAAGCATATATTCTCTAATAATGGCACAAAATTCCTTGGAGTTCCAAACTTCTTTTCTTATGCAATAAGAGCTTAAGACTCATCATGTTGATCTTCACCATTTAACTTTTCATTGGAGAATAATGCACTAATAACTTGCTCTGTATTTCTCCCATAAAGCAAAGTAATGCATAAATGTTTATGAGTAGAGTGTACCAATGTAAACAAGCTAATAGATTTATCCTCATCACTCAACTTAACATCAAATTTAGATACGTTGCAAACAATCTTATTAAACTCACCAAATGTTCTTGCAAGCTTACACCTTGTCTTCTACGAAATGTGTCCAACTTTTGTTTTAGGATTAGTCGGTTGGTGATATTCTTTCCTATATAAAGATTATTCAATTTCTTCCATATGTTTGTTATTGAAGCTTTTTTTATCACATCGTACACCACATCATCTATCAATGCCAATCGAATAGCACTCATCGCCCTTAAATTGATCATTTCCCACTTTACATCATAAATCTCCTTTAGTTTGTCACGCGTGTCTTTTCTAAACCATATTAAATTAGTACATCCTGTATCCAAACTTACCATACGTTAAAGTTCCTTCTTCTATCACACTTTTCGACCAAGTACTTTACATCTGTAAAAGTTATAGCCATGGCTCTGATACCAGTTGTTACGGAT